GTAGCAACAACGCTACACATTGAAACTGATGATGGTGGAAAACACCGAAACGTTTTTTTAATTGATAAATAAACAATAAATGACTGAAGAACCCAGGATTTTATTTTAATTTGTTATTTCTTTTGCACAACAGCCACTCCAGAGCTAGCAGAATATTGGAAGCAAGTACCTAATTCCAAGCAGTGCCTAGTGATGCTGAAAAAAATAGCTGATGAAAATGCAACTCGTAATTTGATGAAAGTTCGTTTCCATTGGTGGAAATTGATTGTAAAGAGGATGAGGATGATGCTTTCGAAAGTGTGGATGCTCCTTTGAAAGGACTAAATAAAAAGATTAAGGAAGACGCGCGCGCATGCTGCATAAAAACGTTTCCGCGCGATGTTTCAGCGCGATCAGCGATCACAGTCATTTCAAACTTTCCGCATCGTACGGCGATTTCGGCGAAATTCTCTGAGCGCGCAAATTCGAATTTTTTTCAATTTGAAAAATTGGGTTTCCTTGAAATTCAAAGCTTCATGTAAATTGATTTTCAATTAGAGCGGTCGTTTTAATGCGAAGTGGGATAATACCGGATAGCTGGTTCTAAATTGTTTGGCAAACATTATCTCGGATTTGGTGTTGTCGAGTTAAACGCAGTTTTAGTTGTAGTTTGCATCATTACCAATGTTTTCAGTGATATCAGATGAAAACATGACCTTTGTAAGTTGCAGTATTAATTAATGTATATGTCTGTGTACAAACACATCAGAAGGGGGCCTAAAAGCCCGAAAAAATCACCCAGTTTCAATCACCCTGTTAAATGTTTTCGCGGTCATTGTTTGACACTGGGTGGGTTTTTCGGGCTTTCTGGCCGCCCTTGAAAAAATTACTTCCTGACGTTTCGCCAGAACGAATGGCTGGCATCGTCAGGGGGTGGTTTGCTCTGTGCGTGCGGAACGTCACACACTTGAACAAAAAAATTGATTCATCATTGCATGAAATCTGCTAACTCTGCTTTATCTCAGTTTCCCAATTCTATGTTATAAACTTTGTTGAAACTTCCATCCGAGCAACTTAAATGTTCATTCAAGAGTATTGTTCGTGTATTGTGCATGGCTGCTTTTATGTGTGATTTTTTATATAACGCCGAATTCACCGGATGTTGGCGAGACCTGTTTAATGATCAGTTGTAATACCGTGAAAAGGACCATCCACCTTTTGCTAGGTGATTACTGACGTTCCAGGCATTATTTTAAATGACGGAGTTATGAGAAAGTAAATTTTAATTGAGATTTAAGACGCATCAGGTTTTTGCTGCACAATGCAATATTGCTTGTCTGAACAGTGTTTAATTACTTGTCTGAAGGAAGTCAACTATGTGTGATCTAACGCGTCTCCATTAAAGCGAAATTGAAAGTCCAATATTGGAAAAGCTGTAACATTATTAGGAGCAGAAGTAAAGCCGATTAGAACCGATCAAAAGCTTTAAGTGACGAACTTTCGTTTTCCACCGGATATTAATTTTTTGCCACTCAAGATCCTTTCTGATATCCGCAAATGTATTCAACAACTACATTTTCCGTCGGTTTTCTTTTTCGCCGAAAATCCGTGTAAAGGTTGCCTTCAATCACATTTTATTATCGTATGTTTTCTTGTACAAGCTTTCCGAAAGAAAACCCCATTAAATTGACTGTCAAATCGCTTTTATCTAAGAGTGTATTTCGGGTTTTAATAATTTCGTTATTATTTAAGGAATCGATGTTTGATTATTACTTTTTTTTTACTTACTTTCACACAAATTCTTTTTTGAAACTAATGGGTTTTTAGGCCATCGTTCGGTAGAATTTCTTCCTGACGTTTCGTAAGCACGAGTGGCTTGCATCTTCAAAAGTGCTTTGCTTGAACAGTGTAGGCGTTCAAGCAAACCACTTCTGAAGATGCATAAAAACCCGAAAAACTCATTAGTTTCAAGGAATGGCCTCGAAACTATCTCTTTTGATAAATTATTTGTTGATGAATTAAGCTTCAAATTTACGCCTTTTGTATTTATGTATCTCGTCTCGTTTCCAAAATCCGTTGAAACTCATAACTGCATTCGGAGCATTAAGTTTGTCTCGCAAAAGTCGCAAAGTAGAAGCAAGTGAGTGATGGAAAATTGCGAAAATTCCAACTTTCAACCTAATAAACATGTTGCTTTACTCTCTGGCGATGTCCAAGTTAAGATCAAAGACAGCTGAGAGTAATAAATGCTGAAGCAAAAAAGCCTTAATATATTTTATCTAAATATTTTAATGAGGTTAAATATATTGCAACAGTTTAAACTGGCCATAACGAATCTTTAACCGGAGAAAAGTTACTTAATTTCAATTTAAGCCAGAATGGTTTACCATTTTAAGTTAAGAAAAACAACCATGCAATGATATGTTACAACTTGATAGGCAATTTGGGTTTGGAGCGTTTTGTTTCTAAATGATGATGACAGTTGATGATTACCGCCGAGTTACCAAAACTATAACGGGCCTGCATAACCAATTAATCCGAAAACTGAGCTTTCTTGGCCACAGTAATCTTTAGATATTTCAAGAGACACGAACAGCAACTGAACGTTCATAACTATAAATAATTATCTCGAGTGATATGCGTTATCTGGACCAACCAAATCCAGTCCATTTGTTTGTTGTGCTATCCGTTTAAAAAATATTTGATAACTGGTGCTGGAATTATAAGCATGTCAAGGTGTGGTCAATGGTATCTTAACGATATGAAGGTAAATCTTTATTGTATTAGTAAAGTATTGTTATTTTCTTTTCAGAGTGAAGATACTTTATATAAGCTCAAATATTAGCTAGGATTAAAGAACTCAGAATTGTTTTAAGTTAAGCACAAAGACACATCAGAACCTAACACAAACCTAAGTCAATTTCTGGTAGCTTAAACAAGACTGATTCCACCAACAAAGAAAAACCGCTACCAGTCACATTATTGAAAAAATTCGCTTCACTGGGGCGTTACAAGACGATGAAATTTTATTTAAATTTGGTTTGTGTAATTATTGTTGTCACTAGTTGCATCTTAAGCTCACATGCCCATTACACACAACAATGGGCTGTCCATATACCTGGTGGTTCGCAAGTAGCTGAGGAAGTGGCCGCAGATCATGGATTCGTCAATCATGGGCTGGTAAGTCAGACTTTTTATTAGCACTAATATGGTTATTGGAAAATGGTGCAGCCAATCCCTGACTCAAATTGGGAATCGATGCTTTTGCCTTTTTTCTTGTACATATAAGGGCCGACTGCAATTACTCTGGACCAGGGGACTCCAGTCTTCTCTCCTTACGGATAAAATAGGGGAATAGCCCCTTTTAGTTGTCATTTATTATGTTGCTGCACCGGATTAGTTTTCCTGTCAGGATTTTTATTAAAGCACCTGCGACTTTCTTAGGGGAGCATTTTTACATAGGTAATCAATTTCAATCAAGTCTCCGCAGATAATATATGATCCATCAGGCGGATTCTTTGGAGATTTTTTAACTCGACATTAGAACAAACATGTTTTGTTCTAGCGTCGTTCCTGCTAGAAAACAGGAACACCGAGCCCCCGGACATGAAACTTTACATATGAAAAGCAAACAATAATGGTGCTTAAAAGTTGAATTCTGCTTTGCTAAAGTTGCAACTGTCGCGTTGTAAATGAAATGACAGTAAATGGGAACTGTAACTAAAACTTTGGCTTCAAAAATAATTCGTCGATCAATCGTGTTTCCACTTTTGTTATTTAATCGAGTGATACTCCGCTAAAGTTCTGCTTACAACATTTCGCTGAAGATGCTAGCGATTCGTGTACCTTAGGACACACTGGAATTTTTAAACTCGCCTAATAATGCGAAAACCAGCAGTTTTTCCGATTGGTAACTGTTTCATTTCTTTCGCTAAGTCGAGCAATTGAGCCTTTTGAGCTTCAAAGTGGAGAAATGTGGGCGATTGCTTGTTTACTAAAGAAAAATTCGGAGATAAACATAAAGATTTGTCATTATTCCGTTCGATAAAAGGTTCTTTAAAGTGTAGGTTGGATAATTTTTTTATGTATTTTTTATATCGCAAAATCTTGCTTGCTGCACGTAGGAGATCGTTACTGATCATCGTTTTATTTCTACGCATATAAAATTTCCATTATTCTTAAATTTCAGGCGAGAAATCGGAGGAATACTCACATAAATGGCTGCCATTTAACCGGTTGTCACGTTCTGACTTTATTACTGGCAGATATTTTTATTAATTGCAATTTTATTGCATAGATTCACTGAAAGTACAGATTTTTCTGCGAATTCTAACAAGATCATTTTCGTCCAATTTTTGATGTAAAATAGTATGCTACAAACCAGCCGGGTTAAATGGCTTTTATTATAGCTAAACCCGATATATTGAGCAGAAAAATTGGATAGATCCTAAATATGAAGACCTGCTAGCTAGATAGGGAAACAACATTTTTAAGGCCGGAGATGTTTCGGATATATTCGACAAGACAACTCTGAAAGGCTTTTCGTGTCCTATTGATAACAGAATTTATCGAAATTTGCAAACTTCGTATGTGGTTCAAGTGGTTAGTAAATGCGATAAGCCTTTAAATTAAGCAAGCTTTAACAATTTCTTTCCAACTGCATTGTTTGGGAGTTACCTATTATTAATAAACTCAATATTGTAATGCTTCAAAGCACGTTCCCCACATTTTATCGACCAAACAGTTTCCCATTTCTTTAATTGAAAAGTTGGAATATCAACTGGTATGGATTAGAGTAAATCAGGCCGCAAAAACTGTTTATAATACTCCATAAATGAAAGTTAAAATAAACAGGTTAATTTTAGGTGGGTTTTTAGTTTTTTATAGCACGTACCTACATATGTTAAATCACATGGATGCTTTGAATTCAACGTAACACTATTCCTGACAATTAACTGTTGGACGCATTATAAATATTTAGTTGTATTATAGTTGTTTGTTTTCAATCTTAATTGCACAGAGTTTAGAATAAACGAACAAGCAGAGGGACGAGTTTTTGTACAATGTTTTATGCACGCAAATAAATAAGCAGCTGTATTTAAGTCCCGCTCCTGCTACAGAACTATTTCGCGTAAAATTAGTTTCAAGAAGGACACTTTACTGCTGTCATTATAGCAAATTATGCATAAAGCCAAAGGTGGTAAAATAAGACTCCTTTGGTAAGAGGCAATAAGTACTACTAAATAAACTCAGGTGAACCTGCACCGCGCTTTGCAACATTGTTATATGTGCTCTGTCTAAAAATAAAACTCAGAAGTATGCCAATTTAATTATTTATCTCCATTTGAGGGCGGCAATCACACAAAAATTTTTGCAAACGACTGAATGATTGTTTTTGACCTGCCGAAAACAGTGATTGCTTAGTCGCTAAAATCTCCATCCAGCCAAAGATAAGATAGAAACTCGGTATTAACAAATGCTTCAAAAAGTTAGCAATGTTTGTTACGAAGTCATGAAGGAAAATGCTGAATCTAAATATTTTTCGAGTTACAGCTCGTCAAACTTTTTTTCTTTAATTGTTGACCTATTCTGGACATTTATTTGCGGATCAAATTGAAAATTGGTACTGTTTTAGCTTGGGATTCTTTAACTTTCTGATAAGAAGTTGCTTCTTCACTTTGCTGCTATATGGCACTTTACCTGTAATCCAAATTCCATTTCCGCATATCTTTTGCGATTAAAGATTAGAAAATGATAGAAAAACAATTTATAGTAATTATTGGATTACTGTTCAATTGAGACTACATTTTTGCGCTGCACTTGAATTTTCTCGATTCATTTTAATTTACAGATTTAAAATTGTTGTTACATTAACACCGGGTATATTAGACCTGTTAGTCGTAGATAAAGGGCAAAAGGGTCTAGGGATTGAAAAATCGGTGCTGAAACTTGGGATAAGGCAAGGTATACTGCAGGGTCTGTTTATCTTATTATGAAGAACAACTTGGAAACTATTCGGCACTCCCTTGGGCACTTTCTTGAATGAATTTAGTGTAATAAATGCCCGAGTAAATGTGAAATAAAATATGTTAAATACCTGTGGATGGTTTGATGTGCCAATTAGCAAACTGCATTATGCAAACTACTGCTGGCCGAAAATACGCGTTACCTAACGAAAATAACACATATCGGTCTGATTGTTAGAAAATTTCACTTAGTGAATTGTAACTGTTCCACACATGCTACGGTCGCTGTCGCTGGCACAATTCCGTAAAACGAGATTATCGGGACAATGGCAATAAAGAAATGTAGCGACATAGTAGCTGGGATTTATCTAACTTAAAACAAGGATTTACGTTTTGACACTAAAATAAATGTAAAAGCTTTTTGATCCGCCTAGATTAGACATGACATTGCAACGCCCTATTTATTTCAAATGTTATTGCATACATGGGACATTTTTCTCGTCTGCATTCAGTATGGAAATAAATCCCTAGTGCTTGCTCTATTTGACAATTGACGATTAAATGTATGCTCATTTTAATTCAGATTAGCACAAATGTGGAACATTTCGCCCCTAAAATATTGTTCTGTGTATACAATAATAAGTAAAGAGTTTTTCGATTGGTTCCTCAAAAGGTGGGCCAGTCAATATTCATGGGTTCCGAGCTGCGAGCTTTGGCCAGTAATTTATTTACTTTAACTGGCAAATAAACGACGCAAAATCGTGGTATTAAAACTCTTGTTAACATGAAGAAAAATCCTCTTTAGCGGTATTTTATTTCGAGAACTTGTCCAAAGGCTGAAATTGCATCTCTGTTAAACTCCATGTAACGTTTTCCTTGTTTTCACATTAATTTTATTAAAATGCCTTCTGTCTTTGACACACGTTTTGTTCGGAGCCGGCTTATTACCGAACATTTTAAATTCAATATTTTTAGACCAACGCTCATTCAGTTTTTAATCGGATGTTGCTGATTATTTTATGCATACCGGGTTCGTTATATTACTGGACATTTTGTTTGTTAATGCCCTGGCATTTTTAATTGTTTGTTGTATTTACATCAAAAACAAGACTCAATGAAACACCCTGTATAGTATCACTTAATCTAGATAAAGAGTAGGTCTACATTACGTCATGTAGATCTACGTACAAATTAATCAGCATCAATTATAAATCATTGATATTTATTTTTAGAGTCCAGTTTAGCATTCAATTGTTAGTACTTTAATGTTCATGAAATGTGAGTCATATGTGCCAAAATCTAAAACATCCCGAAGTGTGTCGATGTGATAATCGTGAGAACTCAATGATTCAGAGGTTTTTCGAATGTGCACAGCAACGTGGATGATCCAGGAAGAACGATGTCTTAATCCAGGAGTTTTTCGAGCGTTGTTAAATTTATCTATCGCATAGTGCCAGATCCAAAAGGCTTTTATGGAAAGGGTTGATATAAGGCCACTTAAAGCTTCGCATCTGACGGGATGGCATTAAGCCCTTATATTGCCGATATTTGTCCACAAAATGTGACAGTTATATTTAGTTTCACGTCGGAGTGCGAACCAGTTTTTCTACCTTTAAGTCAAACCAGTAAAAAATACTTATACTCTATCTGGAAGTTACAAAGGCCTTTTGCAGGAAATATATCTATAGCTCACATGAATTAAACTCGGTCTAAACGCTTTTAACATATAAAATGTCCAGTTTTATTGCTCTGCACTATTCGCATATGCACAGCTCAATTTAATTCCCTGACGATCTGCGTATTTTTTCATTTATCTCTCACGACTTGGATATCTACCAAACCATAGTTGTTATCCTCTTTCGTAGATCACTTCGAAAAAATGCTTAAATGGAGCACGATGAACAAAAGATCCATGATGGTCGGAGTGCAAAGCAATTCATGTTATTGAATTGTTTTGATCAAATGCCTATTGGTTTGACAGGTATTATACGGATTATCTCAAACCTGTATTAATGGAATAATAATCCGAACCGTCTGCTGGTAGGAATGAAAGACAAAAAATAAAAATTCCTCCTTTCAATTTCGACAAAAGCGACTAATTGAGAGTATATATTGAATATGTGACGACCGGGATGTTCACATGGAACATAACAAGTTCTCGAGAAAAAATGTTTAAGGGCACACTGGCGCTGAACGGGAAAAATGAAATAATTGGCGGATATTTTCTCCAGCTGAATATGTAGACCGTGAATTTTTTGAAGAGCGCTCTTTTGTGTTGTGAAACTGCTCTATTTGCTTCTTTTTAGTCGGTCGAGCAGTTCTCCAAGCGTATCAACATTCAAATCGCGATTTTTCAAAGGAAAGGAAGATATGAGCAGTTTATTTAATCAACTAAAATAAAATATAATGAGCTTAAAGTCACGTCATAAAGCTGACATTATTGTCTAGGGTCAAAAAATAATAAAGCGATGGGCATTTTTATGGGCACGTTTTGAACTTGAAGTCGCTGTGGTTAAATAAAAAATGGAAACTATTATAAATGATCCTCCAATTTCGCTGCGTAGTAAAACAATATTCCCAGACCATTTCCAGACATTTTAATTTCAAATCAACACTCTTTTATTTACTTTATCAAAGTCTGCTTGTCGTGAATTTTAAAGCTGACATTGACCAGAAAATTTAATTCAATTGAATCAAGATTAGGCATTGGTTGTCGGTAGGCAGCAAAACACCCATTTACAAGGCACAATTGGTTTCAGTTCCAATAGCATTAATTTGTGATAGAGTGATAATTGAATAAGACTAGTACACAAACATTTTGGCAAAGGACAGAACACATAAACAGTAAACAGGAAAATAACATTAACCACCTACAATTGTTCCCAAAATTTACAGAGCATTGATAGATTATGTACATATTATTGTGGACTTGCAATTTCCTCTAAGTCGGGAATTATTTTGATTGCTATTTGATTTGCTAGTTGGATGTACAAAGAGATTGATAATTTCACAAGCCAACGAACTAAACTCGCTAACACAATTGCTTTGATTGACCGCAAATCTGGAAGTTCATCAGCAGCTTTTCGGAAGCTAAATTGGTAATCCGATTTCATTCAAATTAAAGATTTTGGCAGGTTCCAAAGTTTACACATAATAACATCTAAGGTAGTTTTATTTTGATTTATTTTCCTGACTGCGTGTAATTGTTATGATATTCCTATCTTTTATGGGTCTCAGTCAGTGTGAAGTAAAAAGAATATCGTTTATTTTACTGTTGTCTCGCCAAAACGTTATGAAATAAACGATATTTTTTTTACTTCACAATTTGACTGAGGAGACCCAGGTAAGATAATAGGGATCTAAGGTAGTATTTATTATTCCTCTTTCACTTTGCAGCTAGAAATTGTGCGAGAGAAAACTTTGATTAGGTTTTACATTTCTAAATCTGGTTTGCAAATGCAGTTTCAGGAAGTTAATGCCTAAATCGAAAGTGGCGAAATTCTCCTGCTAAAAAGCTTTTGCAGCTGCTGGAATATAATTAGGTTTATTTTACATATTAAGACACATTTTTTACAAGCGGGAGTGTAATTAGTGATGAACAAAGCGAATATTTCGAGAATTCCCTGGAAGCCACTTGACAAATGCGTTATATATGTGAATTGCAAATTGGTAGGCCCTAAAAGCACTTTATGTCCGAACACTGTTTTCTATTTAAATCGCGAAAATTACATAAACTTGCGGTGTCATGAGAACATTAAAATAAAGCGATTTCAAGCCTTCCAGCTGAAACATTCAATTACGTTTTAACTGTATCGTATTTCGGTTAAATGATCTAATGAGAACATGTATTTATCGCGCTATTTCGGCAAACATTGATAACAGATCATTACAGTATACCTACGTATCTACAAAGCGTTTGAACGGATTTAATCTCCGGATCTAACCGGAAGCTGGTCCATTACATATACATTATACCCTTTCATTTATTGAAATTTCGAACGACCGGGACTCGAATTATATCATGCCTGGATGTGTGTTTTATTCTTTTATTTTATCAAACGGATTTTAGCAAAATTGATTACGTTTCACCAGTTTTTACAATCGGCCTGCTACAGGTCGCTATGCTTTAGTGCACAATCTGAATTTGAAAATTGGCCATTTAGTTTGATTACGGGACTAAAATCATGTAGAACAGTTTAGATTTTTTACTTGTAATCGGCAGGTCAATTAATAAGGATTTATTTGTCTTATTTTGTCCTATTCCTATGTTTAATTTATTTGTCAGTTTAAGTTATGAATAAAAGTAATAAAGTAGTGTTTCGCTTGTTTGTAGTGTAATAATGTGAAATTGGGGTCTTTTCCCCAAACATTGCTATTAATGTTGGTTATGAGATTTGTAATTATAAACTTGGGGCAGCGTTAGTAAATTATTTATGGTTTTCAGATCCAAGCAAAATGTGTGATAATATACCGTTGCTGGTGCATTATCGGTAAACTACGTTATATTTGCCGTGTTCATTAGTGATATAATATAGTTAAGAATTCGGATGATAAACATGACATTTATGATTCCAGAGTACAACAGTATTTTTTAACACACTTTACAGTGGCGGACATTCAGTTTTTTTGACGATTTGAATTGTTTTCCTGGCATTGAGCATTTTCTGCAAATTGCGCAGTTGAAATTTTAGCAACCAGATAAGGTTTAGTACTTGAATGAATATACATTTTTTATCGACAAATCCGTGATTCTCACAGTGTCCATTGCAAAAACTGATTATTCAGTGACGTGGAAACAGTTACGTGAATGCAAATAATAATATGATACAGCTAAAATAAGAAAAAAGTGCCGACTTTAATCGCGGTCATAAACTGCTAAAAGAGGTGCAATGCTGTTTTTTATCTGGCAAATGGAAATGTCCGATTCACTGCATTCTGACGGTTTTGTGTGAAACTTTCTCGCCCAATTATACGTTCATTTGATCGTCGAACAGCATGACAAACTTGCGGTTTCTAACTGACGCTTTTTGCGGACAAGCCTGACCTATGAGAGTAAACTGTAAACTGTCCATGTACCTGCTATTTGCTAAGCAAACTCATTATCTTTGGTACGCCCATGGAAACCTAGATATCTCATCACTAGATCGTTTTGTTATGGTAATAATGTTTATACGGTAGCAGCATAATTCACACACTACCACAAACAATGTAATAATTGGTATTATTTCCGTTGCAACTATTCAAACTTGCCCTATTTAATGCCAGTTTTTAACAGACGCCTATGAACGTATCTTCCGCTTTCCCCAAACAAGTTTCAGTTAATGCCAATCCATTTTCAAACTTATGAAAGTATTTTCATTAGCTTTACTCAATCCTTCTTGCCGCTGAATGAAACCAAATTAGGTTGGCTAATTGATTTTGTTCGCAAACAATGCGAGTGCCATTGATTTTACCAACTTTGTCAGTTTTCAAAGCCATTTTCTCATTCAGAAATACCCATTTGAACCTCTCCTTGATAAGCACCTAATTTAAATTATTTAAATTAGAAGTTTCTTACACTTGATGAAATTTTATTCACTTAAGTACCTAGTTAGCTTCACACAGTTATGCTGTGCTATGCGCTTTGAAAAAGTTCAGCAAAACTACGTAATTATATTAGTTGTATCGAGATTTTTGCTCTTCCTAGTTTTAGTATTGTTCAAAATGCTCGACAGATTAAGGATTAATTGAACGGTTGATTGGATTCTATAATTTGGGTCCAGTCTATTTGAATCGCATAACTCCACTCTGATCCCTTCTCTTCGGAATGCTGTAATGAGATTTGGTGAGAATTATCAATGTGTTTCGACTTTAATAGAATAAAGCGAAGGAAAAAAACCACCGTAAAAATAAGAAGGTGTTTTTGTTGCTATCGGTATCGGCTTTGCACTTTGATCCCAACAATAGAGATAAAATAGCCGATTCTACCGCATAAATAAATACTGCTCAACTTTATATAAGCGGCGATGTTTGCTGGTCTAAATGGACGTTTTCCGGTGATCGGTCAATTTATTTTAAAAAAGTTACCAAATTCATACTGATTGATGCTTAAACGACGGCATAAAAATTATGTCTTAAATTTGACATCATTTTCAGCTCACCGACGTGAGGAATGCATCGAACTAATTGAAAAACATGCTAGAAGTTTCAGATCCGAAATAATTGAAATTTTCGGCACATTTAGCCGACGATTTCATCCTTATTATTGATCCAAACACTTTTAATTGCATATTGAATCGATTGAGCTCAAAAAATAAGCATGTGAGATTTTGATTTTTGGCCGACATATTTCCAAGGGTGGGGGTCGATTTTTTGAAAAAAATTAAATTTTTCTCAAAATTAATAAATTTTACATCATTTGATGAATTTGAATCATTGAACTCATTGAAAAACATGCTTGAAGTTTTAGGTCCGAAATAATAGCGTTTTTTGAGCGTTCATGATCTTTAACTGCGACAATAGTGGCTTATTATTTTATTGTTTATTTTTTTAAATTAATGGTTCTAATTCATTTCCCAAACTGAAAATTGTCCGGAAGCTCCAACATATGGAATTTTCTGTTTCAGCCGCTAATGTTGAATAAAAATAATTTTCTAGTTGGTGGCGTTCAGATAGAGCATTTTTCACGGTGAAATACCTTCCCAGAAGGAATATAACTCCAGATTTAATACGTTATGAATTGCTTTGGAACTGACAATGTATGCGTTTGCTTTGTAGATTATGTGCTAAGAATAAAACGATTTTTACATTAGCTGGTGAAGGTTTCAAGGAATGCTTTTTGTTTCAGATATTTGAGGATCATTACTTTTTTTCTCACCGTCTGGTAGCAAAACGCTCAATAAATCCGAATCCCGAGAAGAGAGTGCGACTTGCTGCGGACACCCGTGTAGCATGGGCAGCTCAGCAAAAGGCCAAGCGAAGAGTTAAACGAAGCATTGCGCTTCAAGATTCCGACCCAAAATGGAGCAGCATGTGGTATCTGGTACGATTCTTTTGCAAAATTTTATTCGGGAAGGGTTAATTGGTTTAAGTAAATTTTCCAGAATCGTGGAAATGGGCTAGATATGAACGTAATTCCTGCTTGGTTGGAAGGTGTTACTGGCAAAGGAGCGGTAGTGACCATTTTAGATGACGGCCTTGAAAAGGACCATCCTGATTTAATAAGAAACTACGTAAGTTGTCAAGCATAAATTCGTATTATGTGCAGCGAAAGTCTGGAAACCATTGCCAGACTCTGTTAAAAACAAAAACGTTCTCAGAGACAATAAAACTCCACTTTTTCTAGACAGCTATAATTCATTTGCTAAACCAAGACGGCATCATTACGAGTTGAGTTGTAAATACGCTTAATTAAAGGTTTGGATAGTTGGAAAGGACTTCGAGTTGCTGCATTTGATCGTTCGCATATGTATTAATGACCCAAAACATGGAGTGGGTGATCTAAATAGTTGAAGAGTGCATTTCTCTTCCATCGCATTCCGTACAAGGATGTAATTATGTAATTTTATATATTAAGACCGCTGAACGCGCTTTGATCTTTACAGTGATGTACCACACACATCCATGACATCATCATTTTAAATGAGGGCGAACGAACCGTTTTAATCTTTTTTGCATTAAATAATGCAGAGCATTGTCAAGACTGACTTTATCTTTCAGAATTCAATTAGTCGAGGCCGTAATTCAATATACTGCGAGTGCAATTATTGTAGTCTCTTTAATGAGAATAATTCCTGTTTGCTTCCATTCGACTATTCTGGGTGCAGAGCTGAAATGGCTCGATGCTTGCAGAAATTTTCATTTTTTATAAGGAAAATAATTGAAATAATTCAGTGTATTTTTCCATTGAGGAGAACAATGCGGGCCTCTATGATTAACATTTAGGCATGGAATGCAAAGCAAGGTTTTAGCCTACAAATGAACCACATTCCAACAATGTTAAGCGTTTTGTCTTCAAAGCAACAAAGCCCAACATTTAGTACGTAATTACTCTGAAAAATCCCCATCCATTTCTTAAATCGTCTCATTTTATTTTTCCACAGCGTTTGTTGAAAGCAAACGCTTTTCCTTTTCATCAACAGCTTTAATGTATTTGGGAAATTATTGTTTCTATTCCCACTATTGTTTTCAATGTTTCCTGTTAGTAAACCAATTTGAATTTTGGATGAGTTTGCGTAGATGCATCATCCGTTTTTTTACAAACTTCCTTTTGGGTATTTCGCCTCAAAAATTTTTGTCTTTTATTACAGATTGATAAATAGTGCTCCTATTTCGCAATAAGAACGAATTATTTATCAAAAAGTAATCAAGAACTATCACCTAGAAGGTATCCTGCGACACACTTAGGCTCAAGCTGTGAGAGAAAATTGCATTTAGTAGAGAAATTAATTTGAAAAATTACCCTGACGTTTCGATAGCTATTTTCTGCTATCGTTATCAAAAGAACCTAAATGAACCTAAAAGAGTATGTTAATAAATTGTGTAACAATAGTAGGATAATACAATATATGAAAATTTGCTCTGATAATTCGTCTGTGCAAATTGTCAGTTATGTGACTTT